CACAAATATTTACTCAAAGTAAAGACTGTAACTGTTCATGTACCAAAACAATTCTTAACTAAAACAGAAATTCAGGAGACACACAGGGCTGAAAACTGAAAGACAGGTTCTTTTATATATAATTTGCCATTTTTATTTATTAATTGATTTATATTTATTTATGCAATAATGCTGATGATGCATGAAAAATGATAACTGTCATGTTAGGAAACTGAACTGACAGAGACCTAGAGGACTAATTTGATTTAAACAGCTTGCTACATAACATTAAACATTACAAGTTGTAAAATTTTGAAAATATAACACTTCATGGTTTCCCAAAGGCATCTAAAGCTGAATTCCCGAGCACCTCCACCATAAAGATGGAAAACACCTTGCTTTTTATATGTAAAGCATATGGGCGTGGCTTTGGACGTGGCTTTGGATGTCCCACCTAGCAGTGTGATGTTTCTCCAGCAGGGGGAGCTCATGTGGCTTTAGTGTTTTTGACTCAGCATTATTTATGCAATTTCTGTTCATTGAGTCAGTTATGTTAAAAGGCATGTAAGCTAAAGGCTGTAAAGAACACAGCCCTAAGCTGCAGTGGAGTTTTTCACTTTTTATCTGCCACTCAAACTGGTTAAATGCGTTTGCGCTGGTCAGAAGGTACAAACAGTGTTTTTAATCTCTATTTCTCATTTTCATTATCGTGCAAATGATTTGTTAAGTGATAGACTTTGAGATTTGAAATCTTTTGCTTTTTTTCATCCAAAATCTTTGGCCTTTTCCCTTTTTCGCCTAAAAGCACAACTTTTGACCATTTTCAGCCAAGTTGGTTGTAATTTTGGTGTATCCCTATTTTATAACTGACAAAGAAAACACTTTTTGTATAAAAAAAATATAAATACGACTAAGTGTCAGCGTATGCATACTGAAAAAGCTCAGACATGCTTTCTTCCAAACCAGTGACAGCGAAAGCTTTAAAGCAGCATGTGTGTGGTGGATTACTGTATAGGAAGGGGTTAGTGTCACTCCGCATGGAGCTTAGTTCTCTCTCAGCTCAAAAATACAGTCTTGACTCATCCTATCTCTCTCGCTCTCTCTCTCTCTCCCTCTCTCTCTCTTACGGCTTAGTGAGCACACTCACAAGGGCGGACGGGAGCAATATCGGCGCGGCTGATGAGAGGCGGTTATAGGCATTACAGTGAGTAATGATAAGTCTTTAGGTGGCAATGTGGAGAAATGAGGCTTTCGCAGATAAAAGTGTTCCTCATGCACTCCCTATTTACGGGCGGAGAGTGCCGCGCAGGGCCCAGGGAGGCAGGCTGGGGGAATTTGTCTTCATCTCACGTCCTAAAAGCCTCATCAGTGTCAGATCGTGAGGCGTTGTGCTACAGTAATTATCAGGAGATGAAAGGACAAGAGGAAAGCATCTACAGCAAGAAGGGGGCAAGCCGGAGTCAGAGCAGTGCCAGGCTACAGCACGGGCTGATAAGCAGCTGGCACTGAGCATGGATGAACCTGAACATGAGCCATCACACGAGAGAGCCACCATTGGGGACGAAATAGCGGAAATGCTCTGGCTAAAAGCTCTACTGAAATCCAGTGGGCAACCTACTGAAGCTGAAATGACTGAATGCTGACATAAAAAATACAAAAGTGCGATTGTTTCATTACATTTACAAGTAAAATTGAACTGATGGATGGATGCATTGCAAATGTCATTGCTGTCAAAAAAAAGCTACATTTTTTTCTATTTTTATTTTTTTTATGTCATTTGAGCACAGCAGCTGCCCTTTACATCATGTCAAAATTTTTTGATGAATGGACCAATACAAATGCTCCAAAATTGCTTGGAAAAAATTTTATTCCATTAACTTACATTAAAAATGAAAAATGTTTCTGCTTTCTCTTGTAAAGTTAAAATTTTGGAGTTTTTTTGTTTTTTTTAGAGCAAAGAATTGGTCATAATACAATATATACAGGCAAGGGACAAAAGAAAAACCAACACAGGCCACCTGAACTGCTTTCATACGCCTTGGCATTGATTCTACAAGTCTCTGGAACTGTACTGTAGGGATGGAATACCATTCTTCCAGAAGATACTACCTCAACTGGTGTTTTAAGCAGTGCGTTTACTCAATAATCCAACAAAACCAGATTTCTATAGTCATCTGATTATTTAAATGATCATGTAAACAGCATTCTCAGATTTCTTAGATTGGAGTAAGGTCTAGAAATCTGATAAAGAGAGCTGGATTTTAGCTCAGCAATCAGATTTCTCAGTGCATGTAAACTCTTACTCTGATTTCTTTCAGTTTTTTCAGTCTGCAGTTTCCCATGATGATTACTTAAGTCATTAAAGGCATTGACTGGATTACTGACAAAATCTGATTTTCTGTAGTTATCGGATTATTAAGTGCATTGATGGTGGCGCTTTCTAACACTTCCGTCCAAAATCTGTTCAACTGGATGGAGATTTGGTGACCGCAAAGGCCATGGCATCTGATTTACATCATTTTTGTACTCATCAACCCATTCTGTGACCCCTTGTGTCCTGTGGATGGGGCATTGCCATCCTGAAAGAGACCCCTCCCACCAGGATAAAAAATGTTTCACAATAACCTTGTATTAATTTGAAGTGACCCTTCCCTCTAAAAAGGGCCAGTGAAGCAAGCCATTTCCACCCCTCGCAACAGCTTAAAAGAGCCTCTGAACCTCCTGCCTGTACGGGTCAAGCATCCTGTATTGTTCTCACGGTGTACGCTGCACATGCCTACTTGTGGAGAATGTAGTGAATGATGACTCGTCTGACCAGATCACATTTTTCCGTCTCTCTATAGACCAGTGCTGATGGTTTGTACACCACTGAACTGTGCATTCGTCCTTGTAATGAGGGCTTTATGCACTGCAGCTCTACTATAATATCCATCACCGTGTAGTTGTGGATGGACTGTTCTTGCTGACACAGTCTGGTCACGTCCTTCTTTCACATTCTCGGCAGAAAACACATTTAAAGGAACAACATTAAATTGAATGTACAGTAGTGTAAAAGAAATGCATTTCAAGTAAAATTTGACCATTGCAATTGAGCCAATTTTACCACAATGTAAAAGACAGCTGGCGTTTTCAAATGATGTAAAAAATGAAAATCTGAGAGAAATGCTACAAGGTTTTAATATTTCATATATGTATTTTATAATATAACTGTTCTAGGGACATGTGTTCCAGCTAATACTGATATTTGACTTCATCTATTAGAATGAATGCACATCTGGTTTATCACGGAGAAGGAAAAAAGAGCTGTGGCTGACCTTTTCAGGTGACAGCACTGGTGTTACACAAAATAGCATCATGCACAGGAATGCATATCCAAACGTTTTATCATTCAAAAAAAACAGATCGGAAGAATAACATAATGAGCTAGATAAGGTAGACGAGCTAAAACTACAGCGATCTAGGAACACTGGACGACTCATCGTCTTCTACAGGTGCATTTTAATAAAACCACTCTGTTGTTGGTTTGAATCGGTTCTCGTTGATATTTAACAAATGCACTCAGGTCAGTGAAACTGAGTCAGTTGTGTTGTTTTCAATGAAATTACGTTTTCGGATGTACTTCAACATTTGTTTGGTCAGTGTAGTCATGTTTCTTATTGGCTCCTAGCTTCATTTATTTGCATACTGTGTTACTTGTTATACTCACCCTCTTTGTGTGATCTTTCCCACTGAACTACCTTCTGTTGTGTGTGCATCTTTATGACACATCACTGTTAAATGCCTATTCATATTGTTTCGGCTATAAGTGCAAGTTTTCCTGCAACTTACCACTGAGTGTAATTCTACTGCAGCTCAGTAGCATATTTATGGAAATTGAACCTAACTTTGTTCTTATTCTGCTTGTATTAGTAAAACATAAACATATTAAGTTGAATATATATCACTCAACTGAGCATCTTAAAAGCTACTTAACACAATTGGGTGAAACTGCTTAACATTATTAAAACAAATCCATCATTTAAATTTTGGATAAAACATAAAAATACAATAAAATCTACTCAAATGTGTTAAGTTGTTAAGTATTACTCAGTCAAGCATCTTAAAAGTTACTGAACACAGTTAAGTGGAACCGCTTGACATAAGATTTATAAGTAAATCCAAAATTTCATTTCTTTGAGCATGTTTTTTCCTCTCAGTGGATGATGTGCCTACGTGTTAGTTTGTCTGAGAAACGGCTATAAGTATATATTTTAACTGTTTCTGGACGTAGCTTCAGCCTAGCTTATTTAGTGATAAAATCCACTCTGCCTTCACTTCCTTAACAACACGCCCTTGGCATGCGCCGATATTAAAGCACTCGTAGCTGTTCTTTACATTTTCTTTGTTTTCCCATAAAAAAAAAAACATCATGAATACCCAAACAGCGATTTCAGTATCCAAATACTGGAATGGTTAACCAGGTACTCGTGCATACACTGTTAGAAATAAAGGTTCTGTGCAGGTACATTTTTCGTTCGTCAGGGTACAAACAATGTAAATGTGCCCTCAAAGGTACAACAGTGGTTTTCAGGTCCAATTGTGAACCTTAAATAGGTTTTTCCAGGTGAAAAGTTCGTATTTGTACCTTTTCATAACTAAATGTTTTAAAACAGAACAATAAAATACAAGTCTGGAGACGAGACGGGGTGTGTGGAGTCAATATAACTTAGAAAATGTAATGTCAATGGTTTAAGGTACAATTATGTTCCCTGACTAAGGGAACTGAGATGTACCCTTGAGGTTCCCACCCCAGTGACAGTTTAATACCTTTTTTCTGAGATACTCGTACACAGCTGAGATAATTCATACACAGTTTCAGTACTTACAGTGTAACTGCACCTAATCTTTGCACATTTTTAATGTTTTGTGTAGATTATATTGTGCGTTTGAATATTTGATGTTGCACCACCAGAAATTCTTTGTACATCTTGTTCTTGCATCGGATTCCAATTGTGTTGGTTTTGACCATAAAGAGCACTCACCATGTTCTAGAGAAAGGAGCAAGCACACAGTCAGGAGAGGCCACAGCCCAGCCACACGCCACTCCCCCAACATCCTGAGAGAGAGACAGAGAGAGAGAGAGAGAGAGAGAGAGAGAGAGAGAGAGAGAGAGAGAGAGAGAGAGAGAGAGATTGACTGATTATAAATTATAAAACACCTAAAAACCACCTGGAACATTTGGAATGATTATTATCAGAGCTATAAAACACAGGCACTACACACAGACAAACGGAGGGATTTTCTTGCTTTGTGGTTGTAACAAGAAGACGACTACCGCTGAATAAAATGCTAATTTTATCTTGTGCGTTCCTGCTGCTCCGTCAGCCATCAAATATTTACACACACCCACCCGAAGACATCGGGAGCAAATAAAGTCAGCAAATTCAACACGATGAATACCTTTGTTCCCATGGCAATTGTTGGGTATGGCACGTCTTGACATTTTCACAAAACTCTTTGAATATCTACAGTGACAGGCTGAGAATGAACGTCAGGAGGGAAAAAGCCCGTAAGGAGACGTTTCTACTAAAACGTCCAACAAAGGTGAAAAGACCAAAGGACTCTTCCATGCTGGAATGGGCTGGAATAGAGACAGTGGCCGAACAATGGGTTTTCAGTTTAACCACTCAAGCGGGGCCTTCTGTTTCCTTTTCTCTAAAACATCAAAGGCAGACAAATGCCTGACAACTCCATTGCGCACTGATGCGGGCTGTGGAGTCTTTAGCAGGAGTCAAAGAGCTTTCAGTAAATAATAGATGCAGGGGATTCGACACGCTGCGGCCAAGGGCGAAACCGGAGCTGCACTGTGAGAGATGGGCCACGGAGAACTGGTGTACATTACAGTCCACCGTCAACACCGTCTCGGACAAAGACGCACACAAGGACGAATTGAAAGGAAACCATTCAAGAGCACATCAATAAGACAATGAGCTCATTTGAGACCACACAGTCAAGGTACATGAACCGAGCATCTTGTTTTAGATTAACTTGCTGGCCACTATATTAGAAACTCCTCCCGTGTAGCTCCACCTTGGTGGTGTACAGTTAGAGACTATAGCCCGTCTGTTATTTCTGACCACAGAACTGTGCTTAATTGGATATTTTTGGGTGGTGGGCCATTCACTGACCAAACCTTTCACTGCTAGAAAAATGTGCTCATATACTCTGTGCTGACTGCTTTAACTTTCTGAATATTGACACAACAAGTCAAGAATCTTTATCACTCATGATCCCTCAAAACACTTGGAAAATCTAATCTATAATTACACAATGAACTGCACTCGCTGGCCTAGGCCTGGGCATTATCTAAAAATAACCAGCACAATATTTTCTTGTTAAAAAATCGGGACTATTGGTTAAACCCCCACCCTCCAATCTGCTGCACCTTATTTTCTACTCTATTATTAGCTTATATGTGTTTTAAACTAACTGTTTTAATGAAAACCTTTAATGAAAATGAGACAAGTAATACAATACTGAGTAACAAACCATTTTCTGACAACTACACGCCCTGTTTTCAAAGTTACACTGCAACTGCAAAATGTGACATTTTGAGATCCTGCTAGTGTGGGTTCGTAGTGACTTGCATGCTAATAGCTCCAGAAAACCAGCTGATACCCTCATACCACCCTGTCACCATGCCAGTGGTCAGCAGCAGCCCTGTGATCAGAAACTAGCCAGTGATGAATGAGGTAGAGGGGGCTGACAAATTGTGCATGACAACAGAAGGGCTACAGTCAGTACATCATTGTACATCAATATAGTGGAGCTATAAGGTAAGAGGACCTTGAAGTGGTCAACATGTGGAAAACAGGGTAGGTGTTTCTGCTAAAGTGGCCAGTGGTTGCATATCTTCTGAAGGTTATTGGAGTCAATGACCATGAAAAGGTTCCTCGGTTCTTTAGCCATCTTTCAGTGATATGAAAGTGAACCGCCTTCACTGAATAAGGTTCAATTTCATTCAATTCACACGAAGCTCCTGTGACATCACTCACACTTTTTCACTGAGCGCTGTGGACAAACGACCTCCTGTCTGTCTTCATCCCTGGCTCCTGGCGTCCCTGTCTCTCACTCCTCACCTGTCAGAGCCTCTCTTTTTTCCCCCTTTCCTCTCTGTAGCCATGCTGTCAAGCCTCTAGCTTCCATCTCTGCTTCTGTCTCAGCTGGAGATGCTGCGGCTCTATCTCTTAATTGTATCAGCGGGTTGGAGTCACACTGTTTTCGCTGGCCTTCACATGCAGGTGACAGCTGAGTGGCTGTGAGCTCCCTCCATGCGGGCGGTCGGGCAGACAGATAGGCCACGCGCCCACACACGTACACGCACAAACAACGCTGCTCCGCACAATACAAAAAACACCGCAATCAATCAAGAGCACATCAAGGGGGTGACAAGATCATTTGAGATCACATCGTCAAGGTACATGAATCTAGCACCTTGTCTTGGTTATATTTACTCACTGGCCACTTTATTGGAAACCTGTCCTCATAGCAAAGTCCACCTTAGCGGTGTACTGTTAGAATCTGTAGCTCACATTGTGTAAAATGAAAGGCTGCAAATAGGCAGAATGCCACAGAATAACCTCTTTTAGTTACCTAATGAGGAATCAAATGGATCGTTCTTCAAAGTAATCACTCAACTGAAAGGTTCTTCATCATTTCTGGCCCAGTTTGCATTCATGGCTTTATCTTTAATTGGCAGGGAACTTTGAACCTTTAAACCTTTTAAGTGCAGATTAAGATTTGCTATTCAGTAATTACATGAAAACCTAAGCAAACTGACTGAGTAATTCTTGGCTGTGTCCAGAAGCCCTGAAAAATACTGTTATTTTCTACTGATCCTTCTCCTTTCCCATGTGACCCGGAAACAAATTTCGTGACACCTTCTTACCAGCCGTCTGAATACAAAAGATGAAGAGAGAAGCTGGTCCAAATACCTGCCAAAATGGCCTCCAACAGAGGATACAGGAATGTATACTACATAGTACCTTATAGCCCCACCTTGCTGGTGTACAGTTAGAGACTGCAGCCAATCAGTTGATACACAATTTGCTTTAGCCATCTTCATCAGTGGTCAGTTTTGGATCACAGAGCTGTTCTCGGCTGGATATTTTTGGTTAGTGGACCACTCTCAGTCGCTCAGTGACACTGACATGTAAAAAACTCCAGCAAACCAACTGATACACTCATATCACCCTGTCACCATGTCAGTGGTCAGCAGCAGCCCTGTGGTCAGAAACTAGCCAATGATGAATGAGGTATAGGGGCCAGACAGATTGTACATGACAACAGATGGGCTACAGTCTGTACATCATTGTACATCAATGTAGTGGAGCTAAAAGGTAGGAGGACCTCAAAGTGGTCATCCTACCTTATAGCTCCACATTATTGATGTAGAATTATGTCCATGGAAACCTAAGCAAACTGACTGAGTAATTCTTGGCTGAGTGCAGAAACCGTCAAAGTTGCTGCCATTTCCTACCAATCCTCCTCATGTCCTCCGTAACCCGGAAACAATTTCATGACACCATCTTAACGGCTGTCCAAATACCAGAGGTGAAGAGAGAAGCTGCTCCAAACACCTACCAAAATGGCCTCCAACAGAGGATGCACGAGTGTATACTACACAGGGAAACTTCCAGATGTTAGTAACATGATTGCATGCTTGCCAAGAGAGGATGGACAAACATGGAGTAATCCATCTATTCAAATGTTGTTTTTTTTGTGTTTATATAGTCTCTGTGTTCAGTGTTAACATGGAGTAAATAAACATGTGTAAATAACATGGAGTAGAAAACCACACAAATGTGAAGCGGCTGGCTCTGTGCAGCAGCCGTGATTGGAAACAGGAATATTAGGCGTGTGCTTTCAAGCACATAGTGTGATAGACTCTGTTCATCAGTAGTTGACATCAAATTTAATGATGTTGAAAGGAATCAGCTGTCCCATTTCTCTGATTACTGTTCTCTCCATTCCTCATGCTTCTTTTCTTCTACTTGATTCCTCTGTGTACTTTCAGGGTAGGAGAAGAGCAATAGGAAGGGGGGAAGAGGACAGGAGCAGTAGTAAGTTTCTAGATGCAGCCCTTAAGTTATAAGAGTGAGGAATGCAAATCTGGAACTGTGTGGAGTTTAAGAGGTTAAAGAACTGATAATTGAAAGGTACTTTCAGGGGACCAATACCATCATACCTAAGAATCTTTCATCTGTTGCAATGAAAGATTTGTGTTAACTTTCCTTTAGTTCTTCATCAAAAACACTCATAAGCATCCATGCAACACAACATATGTAAGGCTGCATTCACTAGTGCAGTTTGTCATCTGTCAAAAACGCATCTCTTGCCATTAATCCACAATGAAAACAATACATTGACATAAACAGCAGATGCGAGCGCATGACAGTGTGCAAATTCACGCCCCGCTGCATCAGCCAATAGGATGTGGTGTGGGGTGGGGCTTTGGTCAGTCATCTCGATTTTAAATAAAATTGAAATAAAACTAATCACCAAAGGTGGGAACAAGTCACTAAGTTGCAAGTAACAAGCAAGTCTCAAGTCTTGATACTCAAGTCCTGAGTCAAGTCCCAAGTCAAGATAGTCGAGTCTTGATTCAAGTCCCGAGTCAGTGAACGTGAGTCTCAAGTTGAGTCCCAAGTCCTAGCCTTTGAGTCTTAATCAAGTCAGTATGTATTCTTCAGCTAATTTAAGGCCACAACACTGAATAATGGTAACAGTACTGTAGCCTTTTAACGGCAGCATGTTAGTGTATGGCTGTATATTAATTTAATACATTTTTTTTTTACCCTCCAGCTAAAATACAAAATCCATGGTACATAGATAACCATGACAGGCATACTGTATACACAAGGGTAGTGCGACTACATATGAAAAGAATTTGAAAAAGTTCTACTAAAACTTTACATTTTTGGGAACACTGGGCACACAGGATTAAAATAAAAACTAGCTCATCACTAAAACTAGTTCAGCCAACTAAAAACAACCTCTAGTTTGAATTGAATTTAGACAGAACAAAAACCAAAACGACCAAACTGAACAAAGTTC